TCTACTCAGACACTGAGCTGTTGACTGCGATTCTCTGAGACCGTCAAACCAGCTTCTTACTCGCTGAGTGATCCACCCGTCAAATCCGTGCCTCTCCAATTTAGAGACAAGGATGTAATGCAGGACAGTGTCAAATGCTTTGCACATGTCCAGGTAGATGATGTCAGTTGCTCTTCCCTTACTCACCAATGCTGTAACCCTGTTGTAGAAGGCCACCAAATCTGTCAGGCACGATCTGCCCTTGGTGAAGCCATGTTGGCTGTTACCAGTCACCTCCTTGTTTTCCATGTCCCTTAGTATAGGATCCAGGAGGATCTGCTCTGTGTTCTTGCTGTGTGCAGAGGTGAGACTGACTGGTACATAGTATGCATAGGGCATAACTACAACCAGTTGTTGGGATAGAGTGATGGCTGCTTTTGATTTTTATAACGTTTCCTTGAAAAAATAAAGAGTGTGCATTCTTATATGACCAAGAACATGAACCTTTTTGATCAGATTGTATCTGAGGCTATAGGCATGAGCCAGTTCCTCAACTTGTCATAACAAGTTCACTTGAGAAATTTTATGCCCTTGGTGGCTTAAAATTCATGTCTCTTAATACGTTGGGGTTTTTCATGACTCCTCTGTATAACTTAAACCACTTGTATCAAATACAAAAGCGTTATCTACTGCAGGACTTCAGGGCCCTTTAAGAAAACGAAGTGCTGCAGTTTGAAGAACTGTTTAAGAAAAAAAAAAAAGCTGTTCCTTCTGCAGTTTGAGCTGGATAAGTGCAGTCTCTCTCCGTGACCCTTTGCAGGTCATCTGACATCTGTTTTCGGAGGTTTGCATCCTCCTTTGCTGCAGCACTCTTAAACTGTGTTCTGGGGGCTAACACAGGGTCAGTAGCAGTCCTTGGAGTTGTAGTTGTTCTTGCCTCTGTATTTGTTCTTTCCCTGCTTCCCTCCCAACACACACTTCTTTTCCCAAACCACAGTTTAAGTCAAGATTTTCAGGGTAGTTTTGTACTTACTGCTCTCCGTGAGAAAGAAGAGGAAAAAACAGTAAGTAATGCAACTTCTTACTGTCCAGAGGCATTGTTCTCACATTCAGACCATCTTGGCTATATACCCATAAATATTTTCCCTTTCAAAATAGGAATCATCTCAGATTGCTTTGTATTTGGTGTTCTGCAGCAGAGATCATCTTATCACAGGCCTGAGCACAGTCACAAAACAGTTACTTCTTTGTTGACATGGTGTAGGTGATGATAATGAGTAACTTTAGTTACAGCATGTTACAGAAGGAATTTTGTTTTTTTCAGTATAAATAGAGTTTAGCTTTACAAATCCTTACAAGTGATCTTGAACTGTTGTACTCAACTCCTGAACTGCTGTCTGTAGTGCAAAGGAGTTGCATTTAGCTCATTCATGGGTGTGTTTTCGCCTGTGACATTGCTTTTCTTAGATTTAGTTAGAAAAATTCTCCCTGTTTTACAAATAGTTTTGGAATTTGTATTTTTACAAAGTGATCGTATAAGTTGTTATTAATTAGATGAAAATTGCTGGTCTTACAATACAAGACATGGCAAGACAGCATGCCTTGCGTAGTATATCTGAACCTAAGATTCTTGTTGACTCCTGTCTTTTTTTAGAATGTCACTAACTACACACAAATGGATGTTTTCCCTATTTTGTGATATCTTGACCAGTCTGTCTTCCTTTCTATGTCAGCATAAGTGTGTATCCTGAAGGAAGGGTCAGTGAGAAGGCTCTTCTTACCATAGCAGTGTCACTAAAGCTTATGCATATGAAAAATTTTAGGATGCTTATGCCATCCCATTTAAATGATAGTGAAGTACTTTAAGGGCAAGAGTAGAAAATGAAAGCATCTGTTCCTCAGTACTGTGTGATTTTTCTTGGGAGCTGGGATGGGGGAGGCCTCTCTAGGGCTTCACAGATATAAATGAAATAGAAAATACACTCTAGAGTCGCATGTCTCTTTTCTGTCATCCAGTGCAGTAACCTCACCATGTTATTTCTGTTTCAGAGAGGCCAAACACAGTCTCCACCACCCCCAAAACCTCCATCTCCTAGCTTTGAACTGGGTTTGTCTAGCTTTCCTCCGTTACCTGGCGCTGCTGGGAATTTAAAGACTGAAGACCTTTTTGAAAACAGACTGTCCAGTGTGGTAATAGGAACGTCAAAAGAAAGTGTGAGTAGCCAGTGTTTGTTTTTTCAACAAAAATGAAGAATTGCATACCTCTTTCTGATTTGGTGGCTTATACATTGAAAAAACTTGTGGTTTTACATGGGTTGTAAGAAATGCTCTTAAAAACCAGCTGACAAATGATGTGCTGCTGCCTTCTTCACTTCTTATCTTTGGAATTCATTGGGTATTCTCTTTGAAATGATGTGGAATATAGCACCAGTATAAGTAGATGTTAATAGCAGAGTCTAGAAAATAAGCTGTTAGCTGTTCATAATTGCCTCAGGCTTTTTGATAGATTTAGGTGAAAAATGTGTTAAATTTTCCTCCTGTTTGAGTTCTGAGTTGTATATAAAACACTTGAAAGTGCAAAAGACAAACTTCTAAGCACTGAAATGTAAAGAAGCTGCCTACTAATCCCAGTACACTAGGCATCATAGCTGGAACAGGAACTGTTACCAAAACCAGCTGGATCCCAGCGTTGTCATATTGCTTGGGGAGATAAAAATACACCAGAATGATTTGGCAACCACCGCTTTCTAGATGCACTAGAGATGCAGTTGAAAATTAATGTAGCTGTTCATAGATTTCGTTCCTAGAACTGTCTCTACCTTGCCATCTGTGAGGGACAGCATGTTCTCCTCCATCAAGACCTTGTGCACTGGGGAACAGTCTGGGCAAAGGAAGTCTATATTGACTTTTTTCTCTCTAATTTAACTTGTGTTTTTCTAGCTGTACCACAGCTGAAGAAGTTAACCCCTGAATATAGCAGTGCAAAGCAACCCGATGAAATGCCGTAATCTCTCTTGCGTCTCATCTCTAAAACCAGCATATTGCAGAGTGTTTTCTTTGGGGCCTGTGTACTGGGATGTGTAGGGAGGGTGTGTGTTGGTAAAGAGGAAGTGGCAGGGCAGCCTGCACCTGAAGCAGTGATTGTGCGGGTGAGCCATCTGTTCTGCCTCCTGCAAGTTGTAATAGGCACAACTGCATTCCAGGGTTGCATTTAGGAGAAATGTGCAGGACAGTGCCATGACAGGAGCAGTGTTTATCTTGCTGTCAGCCAGTACTCCAGATTGTAGTCTGTTCTTGGTCAAGATACTTCCAAAATAGATGGATCTTGCCTGTATTTGTGAAGTGTGTTTTGGCTATTGTATTTCAGGTTTTAAATGTAATTCCAGCACTTGCTATTGATGCTGCAGCTGAAAACCATTGCTCCTCCTGTTGCAAAGCAAGTGTTGGATTTGTACTGTGCTCATTGTAAAGAACTTAAAACTTCTGCCCTGTAGAGGCAGCCTTACTATCAGCCAGGCACTGAGGTTTTAGGATAGTGCAAGGCACTTACACATTAAAAAGCATCTTTTGATTTCCCAGCTGCTTTCTGCCTTGCATGAGTTAGTCCATACCAGTGTGTGGAAGAAAGGGATTGTGCTGTCTTTCCTTGTTGGTGTTAGAAATAACATAACAGCAGCTGACTCCAAAGAGTGAGTGTGCTCTGCTACAAAAGTGTTTGAGTTAGTGTTAGAATCTTGATGAGTTGTACAGGCTGCTTTTCAGCTCGATCACAACTTTTTTCATGTCACCTGGTGTAGAGTAACAAAGGGCTGAAGTAGAGTTACGCAGTGTGCTACTCTTGTTTTATAGATGGGCAAGTCCTGTGTGCAGAAGGTGAGTGAACTTAGGTTGTCTTTGCTTTGTGGAATTCTTCTAGATTAGCTCTGGGGAATGGCAGGTGTTAATCATCCCACGTTTTCTAACTAGGAAATGGCAGTGCTGTTGGATCAGGGCTGAGTGTAGAACAGCACTTGCATGTCTGCTTGACTTGAAGCTATTCACGCTTAACCGTGTACCTACAAGTTTTGACAGACTTGAGCCAGAATGCTCGGCAACTTGAAATTTCTAATCTTTGCACACATTATTGTAAACTGTAAGTAAAACTGTAGAACCTGTTCTTGTTTTTCTAAACATCTACCCTTCTATGGTTTACTTTTCGAGTAAAAACTGAGCTTAGACCTACTGCAGTAACCTAGGCTGCCTGATTTAAAACAATGTCATAAAATACCATTTTCCTTTCTAACAGTGACCACAGGAGTCTTGTGGTTAATGACCTTTGGATGGGAGGTGTGCTGGGGGAAAGGGGTAGCTATCTTGTTCCTTCTGTGCTTTTGCTCTCCTTTCAGCACACCAGAATCTGTTCTGGTTCTGCAGTCAGGTCAGAAGCAGTACCAAAACCAGCACTTAAAACAAACAAAGTAGTTATAAATGTAAAAAATACATTTTTCAGGATTCAATCTCTTCTTTCTCTCTTTTTTTGGTGACAGTTTAAATTCATGCGTGCATCTTGAACCTATGTGGCCTTTACCTGGAAGCGTGGTATCACTTGGCACTAGCAGAATCTTTTGAGGGCTGTGGAAAAAACCTCTTCTGCTTGGTAGCAAATTGCACTAAAGCAGAAGAAAGTAACTTTTAGGTGATAGTCATATCCTAGTTTGTAAAAACTTCAGGGGTTTTCTTTTAAGGTTGGTTTGGCATTTTTTTAGCATCAGCTTTTGGGATGATGCCGAGTTAGAGCTTTGAAGAAGGCAGTTCTCAGTCCATAATTGTTGGAAACTTCTGTCTTGACTGGCTTTGTGCCTGTTAGTGTAACCTACTTCGTCACCTGCAGGTGCAAAATTCTCAGATTGAAAGAAGTCATTTTGACACCCAGGTGTGTCCCAAGGGGAACTGAGCTTCTAACTTTCTGGGAAAGAGCCACAGTGTGTGATTTATTTGTGTCTTTCTAAATAATTGTAAAGGAGAAAACTTACTTATTGTAATACACAGACTGGATCCCTCTGTATCTTCCTGTAGTGAACTTACCCTTATAAATCAATTTGTAAGCTGTTACGTTAATTTTCAGGCAAACCATATTAATTGGATATTCTGATTGCCCTTCTGTGCCTTTTTTTCCTCCTTCAGAACATTAATGTGGATGCAAGTACAAACACTATCCCATCGGGAATTCCTCGAGAGCCATTGTTGCCCGTTTCTTCTACATTGCCCAGGACATTTGAAAGGTCTCCTTCGCCATCCCAGTCTTCTGAGTAAGCACTTAATTACACAGCTATAATTACTCTGTGCTGAATCACGTTTGTGTTTTCATTCATCAGAGTTAGGTAGAACACTGTAAATAGCTATTAAAGTCTTAATCAGTGAAAGAAATAATATTTTGTTGTATATTGTACTTGTAGTAAAGGCAATACGGGTTAATTTCTGAACAATATAGTGGTGATTCAGTCATAATAGTAATTCAGCCAAGTTTTAGTGTTGTGTTTTAGTCACCACGAGTATTTAAAAGTTTAATGAATACCTTACTGTCTTGTATTTGGATAGCTTTGAAGCATGGAGAGTAAACCTATGATCCTGTGGGCAGTACTGTTGTCCATACAATGAAGAAAGTCTTACTGAAAGCTTTATTTGGAACCTGCAAATCAAACTGAGGTGTCTGAGTAAGATAGCTGAGTAACCAGATGCTAGCAGAATGTCACAAATTACAGGTAGTGTCAGGTTCCACAGGAATATCTTTTAATTTGATCGTGTTTTTAGATGCAATGCTACTGAAAACATGCTCAGCAAATTATAGCTGTACCTTCTTATAGTCACGGTTTTAGGCCTATTATTAGATCATTCATTTATGATGAAGTTTCACTTTTCATGAGCCTTGCTTCCTGCTGGATGCTTACAGGGACTCCAAGGTTGTGGATAAACAGCAGAGAGAGACACAGAGTACAGAAAGGCTTTCTTCTTCCACACTCAGTACTGCATGTAAATCGGTACAAGTCAATGGGGCTGCCACAGTAAGTCACCTTATTACTTCACTTTCTCTTAACGATCCAGTTTGCATTTAACAGAATATTGCTTCCATTGCTACCCGGTGTTACTTGATCGTGTGAGCCCAGCACCCTTAAATCGGCGTTTTGGAGGCCTCGTGGTTACTTGCATGCCACAATTACGCAATTAACAATTGTTCAAGTTAACTTTGGTGAATGACAGCTGTTTACCTAAATTCTTCTCTTGGTAGTATCCTTGGGGCAGAAGCATTAACACATAGGTTGATATTTAAACCAGTGTTCATCATCGTTCAGCTGTTTCAGAGTTAGGCTGAGTTAGAAGTGTTTTGCCCCGTCGCAGTACCCCATCTTTCTGATGTCAGAAAGATGTACCTTCTGTTGTACCTGGTCTTGAACTTTATGGTCTGCACAGCTTCTGTAAACTTCCTAGTTAGGCCCTCATCTGCATGTTTTAGTGCAGCAGTCCTGTGCCCCAAAAGACTTTACCTGTTTTGTTCATGAAGTAAATGATTTTTCCTCAGGATGCTTTGTTTAACTCTATTCCGTTTGTTTTCGATTTCACAGGAACTGAGAAAACCTAGTTATGCAGAAATTTGCCAGAGAACAACTAAGGATCCTCCCACATTGCAACCCCAGAAAGAACAAAAGTCAAACACTGTAGCATGTGGGAAAGAAGAAAGAAAGCCCACAGAAACAGTAGAGAAAAACAGAGAACCTCCTCCTGCAAAGTCACATCCCGGACAACCCAAAGACCAGAGGAGACAGTCAGGACGCAGATCGTCCCCTCCAGCCGTTGGGAAACGCCTAAATAAAGAACAGAGTACCCCTCCAAAATCTCCTCAGTGAAACTACCACCTGGGAGGGATTTGCAAAGAGGTCTGCTTCCCACAAATTAAACCCATGTTCCCACTAAGATACCTGAGAATGAGTTGCTGGTTAGGAGCTTGCAGTGATACTAGGCATATAACGATGCCTGCAAGTTACTTTTCTGTGAAATACTCTTTCCTCTCTTGAACAAACATTCTATTTTTTCTGGGTATTTCTGGATAGTTGTTCTAAACCTTACATTTAGGTTGGTGCTTAATTGGAGGTGAAGCTTAGTGTGATTATTTTTTTTCAAGATGTAAAATATTTGTCTTTAAAAAACAAAAAAATCAACTTTTTATTAAGCCTCTCTGTGGCTGTGTGAGTGCAAGCTCTGTATAGTGAGTTTTTTCTAAACTGTTAAGCAGAAATGTGCTGCTGCAATATTTTTAATAAACTGGTCTTGCAAGTACATATCTAAAGTGTCCAAAAGACTGATAACGGCAGCTAGTGTGTAGAGTGCAAGGAAATAGATATATTTTAGGGATTAGTATGTGACCTTGAGGATTCTTTTTATTGGGCTGCTGTACTAAGTGTCAGCAAATGAACTTGCACTTTTAGGTTAAAGGAGTAGTTGTTTCTAGCATTTTTAAAGATTTAATCTTTTTTTGATGTTTTGCACACACAAAACCAATCCTACAGAGCACCGTAGCAGTCTTTTCTGAAATACTTCCTTTTTGACTTACTGCAAGCAAGTAACCATCTCCTCACTCCAGAATAAAACCGATGTTAGAATTTGCAAATACAAAGCACATTTGTGAATAGAAAGAATGAAGTCTGTGAGCTTCTACGGTGGTGAAGCCTGTTAGTGGACGTTATCAGGAGAAGCACCAGCCTTCTCGTGATAACCTTAGCTTCCCTGTGCTTGTAAGGGAGTTAACTGAGTCAGCGCTGTATGTTCTGGTTACCCCTGTGCTCTGTGTAGACTCTTTTTGGTTTTTTTTAACCTCTGCCCCAAGTGCTCTTTGAGAGTTCATATCTTAGTCAGCCTCATGTTGACGTCTTCCTGTAACTACAAGGATTGGCATACGGATTTAAATTTTCTCAAGAGGTGAGACAATGGTGTTTGTTTTGTGTGATGGAGGAAGAGATCCCTGATGTTTACCTCTGGGATGAGGTTTCTCACACTTACTTTAGAAATGATGCGCTTTCTGAAGGACAAGGATGCACTAAATTAGCAAGTTTCTGATAAAGTTGAATATAAATTATTTTTGTTTTAAAATGCCTAAAGTTTTCCTTTAAGTGTTTAAACTGCAGGAAGTTCAGACAAAACTCAAAAAAACAGTTTATTCCACAAAAACGTTTATTTAAACAACTGATTTTTTTTTTAAAGAATTCTTTCCATCCAATATTTAAAGACTTGAATTTTATTTAAACTTGAAAATGACTTTGCCTTAACTTTTGTACAAGACAGCTTAGAGTTAACGAGGTCTGACCCCGTGGAGGGTTAGCATGAGTGGAATACAGAATTACTCAGTTACAGTATGTATCTATTGTCACTGGTCGTACTGGGTAAACATACTGTAGTACAGGAACTAGCAGCAGATTTTGTAATATACCTTAAAGATCTTAAACAGTTGATCTTTTTCAGATTGTTGAAAAACCTGTAAATGCAAATAGTCAATACTGTATTAAATATGTGCACTTGGAAGTGTGTGCTTTGCTTGTACAGTTGTAAATAATCAGAACATATAAAAAGGTACCCTAAAGAAAAAAATCTGATAAAAACTATTGATATTATAAATGTTGCTGTTGAGCTGGATGTAGATAAACTAAATGTTGTGGTTTGAATATTACTTTAATTTGTTGTTTTTTCTTTTTCTTATTTTATTCTGGTGTGCTGAACTGACCCTGCCTCTTCACTGCAAAAGGGAAATGGAATGAAAGTCTTATCTGAAAGCCCTCAATTTTTTTTTAAGTCCCTCTAAACATGAGTGATTTCACCAATTCCAAAGTGTTCTGCAATGTAAATAGTGAATTTCAGCAGTCAAACTGTAATTTTAAGTCATTAATAAAGTGAAATCTAATTAGAAAGAGACTTGAGACTGCTGCAAAAATACACAGAAGCTTACTTGTCTGCTTTCAAGAATCAGTGCTGTCCGTAGTGTACGATTCCTAAACTGTAAAGGAGCTGTAGGGGTCGACTCCTGATAAATTTCCTATCGCAAGCATCAGTGGGGAACGAGCTGACCTGTCAAATCCAGCCTGTCGTACGCTGCAGAACTCGGAATAGGGCGTGCCGGAATCCGCTGACCCTTGGTGTTGAAAAGGCGCGCTCCGTGAATGCTGCGGGAGGAGGTAGGACTGACAGCAGCCCCAAAACCGCTCCACTAGTTCTGTCATTGGATTTTTTTTTTTTAATATGCTTCTCCTTTCCCCGGCGGCAGTGAAAAAGGTGGCTAGATTTGTGTATGGTTTAGGCCAGCTGTATGATCCGTTTGGTTGGTCGGCTGCAGGCGAGAGGCTC